CAAGAAGTTTATACTATTCAATAATTTTAAAAGTTTAATATTCTATTTTTTAGTCATTTTAACAATTATTGAACATAATTGAAGGTAAAGTGACTAGTTTAATGCGCGTCATCCAGCCTCTTAACACAGCAAACAGGAGTTAGTCTCTCTCTGTTTTCACTGGAGGTAACATCTTGCTTGAGACTCTCTTCAACTAAACGCTTTTTTTCTGTGTTTCCAAGCAAATTATTGGTCATTTTGAAATATATTTTACATATTGACAATATATAATGCAGTGCAGTGTTGATTTAAAGAAAATAATCTTGAATTACACCAAGAGAGCTAAAATTTTATGGGTGAAATGGTGCCATGGGGTGACTTCTCTTCCACCCCAATGCCTTCTCTTCTTCCTTCTCCTCCACCCCCATTCTAAATCCCATCATCATCATCATCATCCAGGAGCCTTCTACATACACACCTCAAAGTAAGTGAACTTTTCTACCATTTTTGTTGAATTTAGGAAATTTTCAGTGAGCTGGAACCAATTACCCAAAAACCCATTGAAACAGTGGTTTCGGTTAACGAACTTTTCGGTTAACGAACGACCTTCTGGAACGGATTGAGTTCGTTAACGGAGGGGTCACTGTACTTTACATAAATATTATGAGTATCTGTATTAGCATAACTTTACATGAACTACAGTAAGATCTCATATTTCGTGTGATTTCATTTCGCGTTTCTTAATTTCACGAGCACTGCCTAATGTAACCAAGTCTTATATTTGGCGTAAAATATCGTGAATTTCGCGAGATCCAGCCAGCTGAATACTGGTCACAGTGTTGAATGAGTGTCACAGCCCTCATACCAGTTACAGTCATTTCTGCTACAACGCTTGTTTTGTCAACGCGAATTGGTTGTAACGCGATTGTTGAATAAGGGAACGCTGTTTGTAAAACTCGAACTTTTGCATGCGAATGTTGGCTATAACACAATTCCATTCTCAACGTTTTAAGGGTGTCGCGGGGTTATGCAATGTTTACAGTTCACGTTTGTCATCACATGTTCAATTGATTAATATCCTTTGTTTGTGAAGTGTTTTTTGAGAGTTACTCTGTAAGTTTCATTTTTTTTTTTGCAAATTTAACTGTTACCAATAAATACTGTATGAAAAGAATAAGTAAAAAGAATTTTTCGTAGTGAGAACTAATAACAGTTTACACCAGCGCTCTCTGTTTACATCACGTGATCAGTTGAATCGCGCTGTTTTTGTCGTTTGTTCCGTGACTTTCGTTGTTTTCTCCAATTTTGTTGTGCTGGCGATGAATATGGAAAGACAAGGCAAGAAGAATGTTTCCAATAAGCGTTCTGGTAATCAAATTGCTGGTGGTGAACGTAAAAGAGGTTTACAATAATGCAACTATCGCGTTGTAGCCCGTGCCATCCTAGCGACCGCCCCGGCTGCTATTGTGTGCTTTTTTGGGTGGTGATACCACCTGTCGAGTCAAGATAATGGCCTCTACCTCTACTGGGGGTCCTACTGGTGCTGGTGGGGGTGGGACAGACGCACCTAAGTGGCCAAATAAGGAAAAGGAGAAGCGGGACTATCATAAGGGAGTTAAGTTTGCCAAGTACTTGATGCAGGATAAGCAGCATGTGATTAAGTTAGTTGAGGAAGGCCTAAAAACTAGTTTATGGAAAGCAGTCAGGTCAATAAAGGCTGAATTTGTATCACTTGGAGGTTATAAATGGGAAAATCAGAGGTTGATGTTGAGTGGTCAGTCTATAGTGTTATTTTTCCCATTAGTTTATATATTTTCATTTGGCGCAATTTTTCCTGTCTATATTACTTGCAAAATACAAGATCTTACTGTAGTTGTATGTTGTGTTAAAATAATTATGTTTTATTAGGACTTACACAGCACAGTTTGTACTTTTCTCTGGTGTCATGAGCAGGGCCAGATTAAGGCATAGGCCAGGTAGGCTGTGGCTTAGGTCCCCGCGCCCCAAGAGACCCTTTGTGAAATACAGGGTGTCCATAAATGATTACCCTAAAACAGTATGCTAGCATGCTTTAATCAAGGTTCATCATTTATGGACATCCTAAGTTTTATATGAGGATTATTATAATGGTTACAAACTAACTAGTATACTTTATCAGCAGATGCATTGCATGTTTTGAAGCCGTACAGTGAAAATTCTGCCCCCCTTATGAGGTCTAGCTAAGTTTTCCCTAAACTGGAGTCGAAGAAGACAGAATCGAGCAGCGCTGCCATTAGGCATCATTCATTACCAAATCGGGGCAAATTTGTTAATGAAAAATATGTTTGGTAATGAGGAAGCATGATTTGGTACTGAACCTCAAATTGGTAATGACTTAATCCGAAATTGATAATAATCAGTATCATTAGTACACCTGTATATAACTATGTTTTCATTTTCTTTTATCTTTGTTTATACCTGTAATGCTATACTTTACTCTCTTTGGGTATTATAAACTAGTAAGTGATAGTGTTTCAGTGAGTCTTTTGAAGGACAAACAGTGACATTTTCTGAGGATCCCACATTGTGGACTGACATTACACATGAATTACGTGGTTACTTTTCTCACAAAAAGCTTGAACAGGGCTTGGATGCATTAAACCTGAAAACCTCAGGTAAAACTTATGATGATGGAAGAACCAGGTACTTAAATAAGGCAATTTTTTTTTCAAAAGCTTGCTAATGGAGAAAAAGTTAGGAGAAGATAGATGATTTTCTCCGAGTCAAGTGGCATGGTTTTTTGCTATGATTGTAAACTTTTTCTTCGAATCAGTCTGCTTTAACTACAGGATTTAATGACTGGAAAAATGTTCATCGTCTCTTAGAGCATGAAAACAGCATACAGGCATTCCCCGACTTACAACAGGGATACGTTCTTGGACCCATAGTTTAGGTTAGGTTAAAGCCCATGCAAAACAACAATAATATACCCATATATACCAAATAATGTAAATACTGAAAATAAAGTGATGTTAAGCAATATATAATGATGAAAATAATGTAACAAATGGGATTTTAATGAAATTTTTGCAGTTAATGTATTGGGATTCCATTCATAAGTGTGGGTGATGAAAAAGTCGGACAGTCGTAACTCGGGGACTGCCTGTAATGCACAGAGAGTCTATGTCTGCATGTTATTCTATTGGCCATGAAACTGAGTGAGTAGATAAGACATTGTTTATGCAGTTACAAAAAGAAAAACTACTGGAAGAATACATTAAAAAGAGTGGTTTCTGTTGTAAAGTTTTTAGCAGAGAGGGGACTACCATTCCGAGGTCAAAATGAACAGATAGGCTCAAGGAATAATGGGAACTTTCTTGGAATAATCGAACTACTTGCACAGTATGATGCTTTCCTGGTGGATCATTTGAACAGATTTGGGAATGCAGGATGTGGTATCCCTTCATATCTTTCATCAACAGTTTGCAATGAATTTATCCATTTGATGGCAAAGCAGGTTACGAGTGCTATTGTGTCTGAAGTGAAGGCTGCCAAATAATACAGCAAAAGTGTAGATTCAACACCAGACATTACCCTCTCAGATCAGTTAGTTTTCATATTGTGCTTTGTGAGTGCAGATGGTATTCCTGTTGAAAGGTTTCTAAAATTCATTGAGATTGAGGGGCATGATGCTGAGTATCTAACAAATGTTGTGCTAAATACACTGAATGACCTTGAAAATCCCATTTCTAACTGTCGAGTACAAAGTTATGACAAGGCTAGCAACATGGCTGGAAAGTATTCAGGAGTTTAGCAAAGAATATTAACATAAATTCTCTTGCTCATTTTGTTCCTTGTTCAGCACATTCATTAAATCTAGTTAGTTCATGTGCTGCAGAATGTTGTGTCAATGCAGCTTAATTTTTTGGATTCATGCAAGCTCTTTATAATTTATTTTTGGCATCTATTCGTCATTGGAAGTTACTGTATGTCACTACTTTCCATCAAACTAGTTTCTATTTCTTTTTGTGTTGCTGTTCTTATACATTTACGTTCGCATCTACCAGACTTGCTGGTCTCCCTCTTATGGCTGCTTGATGCATGTTCCTATAAATATATTTTTTCACTCTAGTTTTTATAGGGTAACAGCTGCTGTGAAATTTCTGGGGGTGAATTATTACTGCTAGTAACATATGGTTCATGGCCGCTCCACAATATTTGAAATGGGGGCAGGAAAAATCAAAATGTATCTTATATAGTATGTCTGTAGATCTGTGGTCTGAGGGGTACAGATTACAACCATAGGACTGAAAGGGTCAGTAATGAATACTCGACAATCAAAGTGGTGTTTACTGCCTAATTTAGGTGCGAAGCTTAAAATTTGCTTAAAAATACATTGTACATTACTTTTCTAGCTAGTTTAAAATCTCACTGGCCATTCGTAATGACTGATGACCCACAAGTCATAGGCGAAAGCTTAAAATGTGAAGTCCCATTTTATGACAAGAAATGAATGGCATAGTTTCTCTTCTCACCTACTTTAAATGAAAATTAAAATCTGCAGGGACTGAGGACTAGAAAGATGAACTTCCTTTATATGATCAATGGGAGTTTTTTTATTATTATTTTTTTATTATTATTTATTGGGCACTTCCCTACATCCTTGTGTAAGGTGAAGCGCAGAAGCGTTTACAGCCTTTATGTCTCATGAGTTAAGGGCGTAGAAGCCTGAAGAGTCAAAGGGAGTTTGGAGGAGCGAGTCTGCTGAGGGTTGAATCATTTGACCCCTATCCTGAACTTTCAATGGATTTTGAGCTAATATTTGCATCAAATAGGATCAGAGTTTTTACACTGGTCTGAAATGGTCAGAAGGGTAATTGCAGCAAAACATTATTAACTGGATAATGTATCATAATGCTAAACATTTTCAAGCCCCCTGGCAAAGGCAGGTACTGGCAGAGGGGCAATATAATGGTATTGATCTCAAAAGTCACTTGCTTATTCTGTCTTTCATCCATCAATCCTTTATTTTCTCTCCTTAGAGTACAAAATGGGGTGGTGGCACCTGGGAGACTTTGAGCAGCTGCGTGAAATGATCAATGCATTAAACGAGAGAGGTGTACGAGAACGAGAGCTGAAGCGCTTCATAGAGAAGAACTTTACTATTGTAAAGAATGCTCTTTCAAAAGTAAGTAATTTCTGTGTAATATTTGGAAATGGTGCATTAAGTGAATATACTGATTTATCTAGAACACAGAATGCAAACTAATTAAGGTAAAGGAGGGTTTCATAATAATACACTCCATAGCAGTTGTTGTTGCAGATATTGTACAGTACAGTATTGTAGGGAATATAGTATGAGACATTATTTTCTGCATATTATATGAATATGTAACAATATATTTTCAAGGAGTTTTGCTATATGTCAATATGTTTCATTTTTGTGTGTGTGTGTTTTTGCCTTTGAAGATGAACATTGTTGCATTGACAGTCTTCAGAACCTAAACTGAAGAAGCCAGGACAGGATATGGTACTATTGAAGCAAATAAGCCTATGGTTGAATTGTTTCAGTACCAAGGTGCATGGTAACGTACCACATGGTATATTGATGCAGAAAATATGACAGTTTATATTGTGATTCCTGAGTAACTTGAATAAATTGATTCACAGCAGTCAGAATTGAATAGAATGGGTAATTATTGAGGAAAAGGCCAGATATTAGTACAGTAGAAGTCTGCATATCCAAGGGACTGTAAAACCAAATTCTTCATACCTGCCTTGTATACCATTACCATTTATCCATAAGCGCTCACCTTCATATCTGGCCCCATCAATTTTCCTGTAATTACTATTGAATAATTGGAGTGCCTGTATTGTTATTGGTAAAACACTCACTTAGCAAACCACCCTTACTAGTCTGACCAATAATGGAACTTAAATGGGGGTTTAAGTATAGAGCATCAAGGTGTCCTTTTTGCCTACATCCAGTGATCCTAGTGAATTGTGTACATATTCTGAGTAACTGTCTCTTGTGTACACCTACCTGGGAGGGGGGGGGGGGAGACCAGGATATTTTTCCTTTTCTAATTATTTTTCATTTTCATTTATTTTTATTGAAAACTATTATTCTCTTACCAGTTTATTTTGGCATTAAATTTTTGGTACTCAGTGTACATATACTATACAGTAAAAGAGGGTTTCTTGTGGCTGTTAGTAAACTGACTGTGCAATAAGGCTTTAGCAGTTCTGTAGTTTCCTTTGGATATGTGGATATATCTGCTTTATTATTATTTTGTGTTGAGAAAAATCCCAGACGTTTAAAAGTTAAGGACTCAGCACCATCCTGCCCTGCCATCTTCACAAATGCGATAATTTCACATACTGTACTTGTAATGTGGATAGTCCTTAGTGTCTGAGCATTGGAATACTTTTCATGTAGCGGACACACAAAAACAGACTGGCTCTGGTGGCACCCGTGAGTAAAGTAACAAAGGCAGATCCCACTCTCAGTCCATGTTTGTGGCTTTGTGGAATAATTTTATAGTTCTTGCATCTCTCCTCCATTTGCATCAGTGCATATCTTAAGTGAAGTTGAAGTCCTCGGGGCATGGTAGTCCTAAACTATTATTAGAGCCTTTGTCTAGATATTGTGTATAAATTTCTTTGGTGGCTGATAAAAGCTGTCATTTCATATGTAAGATGGAGCCAAATGCAACTTTAACATTTTCTCTTACTTATCAATTGTAAATTATATCAATATTCAGAAGTTCTTCAGTCTAATAAAGGAAGAAAAATATTTTATCAAACAGTTGAATATTTCTACACTAGGATTTACAAAGGCAAAGCCTTATCTTCAAGTGTGAGACCATTTAGTATTCCAAGTTTGGTTTGGTCTAATATTAAGTGAATTGTCACCACTTGTTGTCAATAAGATATAAGAATTGTGAAAAGTGAAATTTGCTGCCTTAATACATATACACAAGGCTTAAAATTAGAGTAGGTAAAGGATGAAGTACTTTTGTTAAGCAATACAAGACGAAACATTGGGTAATAGAAGTCATTGATGGATAATGTAGAGTTAGAGTAAGTTTGACTCGGCACAAAATGGTTGATCAGTGTATTGTTGCCCAAGAAATGAGATGTTTATAGCAGACATATCAGTCACTTTCTTATGCAGTAATACAAGTACTTCTATAAGTGATTATGCCCAATCAATCTGTCACTTATGTAATTAAAACTTTTAAAGTGCAGCTCAGGAACTCTGTGTGAAGATTTTTTTTTTTCGCTATTGTTGTCAGCAATATCTTGCCCCAACTCTGCCATACAGTAAGTTGCATCAAACTTCATTTGTGGGGCTGCATACACTTTGTCCCTCTTTCATTATATTCAGTGAATATCTTCCCTTTTGCAGAAATACCAGTCATGTTTTTTGGACTGCAAAAAATTATAAATTCAGCCAATACGTGATTTTAAGTGTAATCTTTGTGAAACCATAATTTATCAGTGTTCACTAAATGCAGTGAAATCTAATTCTGGTAGCAATTTGAACAACTAGCAAGAGATTGTAATTTACTGAGGTAGATGGTGCTGATGAAGTCATCAAACCAACATAACAATGCATGTAGTGTTGAATGGCAGAGATTAAATAAACCTCATGTTTGAATGAGCTGCATTATGATGGCTTGATAACACACAATGATAATTTGGTTTCCACAAATTGTGGATGACCTCTAGAAGATGTTCCAAAACTTCATGCGAGAATTATCAAATTTTTGGGGCCCATGTACAGAGCAACTCAGCAAAAGGCATACTGTAACTTTAAACCTTGAAGGTTAAAAGAAGCAATGGCATACGTGGGTTATTTATCATTACTTTATTGTGAACAAAGAAAGGAGACACAGAGTTAAGATTTATGAGAGACACCCATACATCTACAGTATATATAGCATGGGTCATAACAGTAGTCCTCTGGGCTTGTGTTGACAGAGAGGTAAGAAGCCTTAAAGAAGTTTCTTGGTTTCAATGTTACCTTTCCATTCACCTTTCTTGGAAATTTGGAGATTTTCAAAATAAAAAACAGTGCTAGTAGGACTTTGACTTAACTATTTGTCAATTTATGTGTAGCCCTCAGGTGTTATAAGGCAAACCTTGAGATACTGTACATGCTCATCCCATCTTATATAACTGCTGGCTTAAGTCTTCAGAGTCACAATTGAAATCCTGTACCAGTCATAAAGGTTCATGTTTAACTCTCAGCTAATGGTTGAAAAAGGATGAAGTCATGACTTAGCCATGCTGATCTCTCCAATGTCCTCCACCCAACAAGTAGATTGAAGGATAGAATTATAGGATTGTAACTTATTATCTCTGACTTTGGAGTTTGATGAGTAAAGAAAAGTCACAAAGCTTTTTCCAGTCATATACAGATACTTTACACATCTGATTTAAACTTGAAGTCAGTTTTATCTGCATAAGTGTGACTCACAAAGTCAACACTACAGTCCTCTCATGCTGGCCTAGTGATGTAACAGGTGCCCTCTAGCAGAGAAATTGATAATCTTTCTTGAGCCACATTTGCATCTGTCCTAAGCTGTAGGATGCGACTTTAAAAGATTAGCTCATTTTTGTATTTGCCAGTAAAACTTACTTGAAATCTGGCAAACAGCAGTCTTTGAGAATTTACCAAGTATTTCTCCTAAGTAAATTTGGTTGTTAATGATAAGTAGTGGAATGTCCGTAACTGGTTTTAATCTACAAACAAGATCATTAGAATGTAAAGCAACATTGGATTTTTTTATTATTTAATAAATAAGTACTGTAGTCTTTTATATAAAATATGGTAGTATTTGACTTCAAAACTGTTTTTGTTAAATGTACTATACTGTATTCATATTAGTTATACAGTACATGATTGTTTTAATGGAGGATTTCAAAAGTGAAGCCTGTTTAATAATGAAGGAAAGTATGAGTACAGTAATCTGTTTCAGATAGATTAGCTTTACCTCTTGAACTGAATGTGATTCAGTTCACTTGACACATTAAACTGCATTAGGTAGTAGAATTCTAATGTTATTTACCATTTTTTCTCATTAAGTTTCAAGTCTTATCCACTTTCTCATGCTGGATTAACTAATCAGTTTGCTTCTTGGTGAATACGCTACAGTACACACTCTGTGGTCAGTTCCACAGGTTTTTGTGTTTTTAGATGAATAAGATGGAGCAGAGGTCCTATATGATTGGGCAATCCTTGATGGTATAATGCAGTACATTAGAAAGATTATTTATTGACATCATGTGGTGACCCCAAAACATTTATATAAAAGAATCCTGTCACGACTTCTTCAACGTGCTTTGATGTTCATTTGCAGCATATTGACGGAATGTTTTTAGTATTATTTTGCCTCGTAGCAACCACAGCGCTTTTTGTTGTGTTATAGCTAGTTTGTATGTACATTACTAGTCATGAAGTAAATGTAGTATTATACATTAATAACATCTCTTAATGAATATAAACATTTTCTATTAATATTGAAAGTTGTATACCCAAATTAAAAAGCAAATCATTTCGAATAAAAAGTTTAACTCGGGTAGAAAGTCATGAAATGCAATAATTTGTATCAGATATTGCCAGTTCTATTGGTTTTCTTGTAAATGAGATACTGTAGTCTTCTAACATTTGTAAATGAAAATTTTGTGTGTAAGCTATACACTATAGGCCTTTTCTTGCACTAAAACCATAAGGATCATGCAAAATTCTTAAAGCACTCTCCATTGTACATCATGACTTAATATATTGTGGCAGACCCAGCACCAAAACTGAAAACATTTGCCAGTTTTGTCTGCCTGTTGATTTTGCTTACTTTGGTGTTACGAACCACTTTCCTTCTCATTTGAGTAACAAGTAGAACTAATTAACAGTGCCTTTCCTTGGACACACATGCATGATATAATGAATGTGGATGGTTTATAGTTCTCTAGGTTTATATTGTGTGTTTTGTAGTGAACGGATGGAATATATTAGTAAAGTAGACCCTTGTTTATACACAAAGTAATACCCCTAAGGGGTATGTGTAAGTGCAAAATCATGTACTGTATATGTAAATTCTGTACATACACAGGGGCGGTGTTTGGGTGTGGGTAGGGGCAGCAGCACCCCCCCCCCCCCTTCCCATTTTGTAGTCATAAGTC